TTTTTATGCAATTTTTGCAAAGCTATATGTGGAAGGAAACCGTGACCTAGGACAAGCTGATGGCATAAGATGTAAGTACAACTCCTCTGGTTTCATATGGAAAAAAATTTATTACGCTAGCTTAGCAGGATTTAAAAATAGTTACACAAAACGGAGCTTGCTGCTCTGACCGGCTTTAAAAGGTTAACAATAACAATGTATTGAATAATGACTTTAAAAAATAATATAAAATAGTGTGCAAATACTGATAACAGTGCAAATGTTTGCAATATAAGAAATAAATGAAAAATGTAAAGATCTATGTTTAGTGAACTTTGCAGTATTGCTCTGTGGTGCAGCTACTACACCATAGCAAAGTTTACACACTATGTCTACTTGATCCACGTCTGACTCCGCGAACCCATAATGTTTCCACACCACTGAAGTTTTTTTTTACCTCTTTTCAACCAACGGCAGTCACTCTTCTCTCCAAATAACTTCTGCTTAGCTTTCCGAGCTTCCCTCGGGTCCTCTTAATTGTTGTGACGTGTGTTCGAAATGCAGAGCGGTGAGCTCGATTTGCCACACGGAGCAGCGCGAGAGTAAAGCATGAGGGAGGGGCTAATAATCGGCTCAGTCATTTTTAATGATCGTTGAAAACCCAGATCGTAATCGTGATTAAAATTCGATTAATTGAGCAGCCCTAACCCAGAGAACCACTTGCCTGTGTGAAACTATTACAACCATCACCACACTGGCTCCCCTCCAGACCCTGCTGCTTCCTCTACAGACAGGAGCAGCTTAACACAATAGCCTCTCTGCCACTTGCACAATAACTATTAAAGTTTGACATGACAGCCTTAACAAAGCAAGTAATCTGTGATAAAATGCAATGCACCACTAAGAAGCACCTCGCCGAGACTTGTGGTCCGCTGAGGAAAGAACAACACGGATACCGCCACACTGAAGGGTTTGATTCCTGCTGAGATCACGCATTCTTCAATTCTTCAAAGGTTGAACTGTAAGTGGAATTCAATTCAAGCGAGCCTTGTAAAGTACACGCAATTACAAAGGAAGCTCACAATCGATCGATTGATGAAATTGTCCATTGATCAAACAGCTCAGATGCTGAGTTGATCACTGTAGTAATTTATAAGGAAAAACGATAAGCAAGCACAAACTTTATATTCTTTTTCTTTGTCTTATAATGAAGAGAAACGCCATCAATATTCATCACTTAATGAAATAATCAACAGATGCAGTCTAGCTGAAGCCAAGAGCTGGGCTATGAATACTGAGACTCGACTGCAAAACATTTTTCTTCTCCTCTCTTGTTCTCTAAGAGATCACAAAAAAAGGTTTTGTTTGCTCTAATATTAAATGTTTTCAGAATGTTTTGTTTTGTTTTTGCTGTTATTAACTCATGCAATGCATAAATACAAAAAAATGTGACAAATTAAAGAAAAAAAACATTATAAGAGAGTTCATTTGCAAGATGCAGAACCACCACAAGCTGCCAAAACAGCTTCAGTCTCTGCATTACATAGGAAACTTTATTTTAAAAGATATTTCTTCATCTTATATTTGACAGGTGTAACCGACCAGCACACAATCTTTTGACATGGGAAGGTTAAATACTGCTCACATGTACCTACACTGGATAAAGTCTAGAAAGATTTAGGGCTGCTGTGCTAGTGCATGTGTGAAAATAGATAAGAGCCACTAGTTCTCCTGACTATGTGCGTCAAAATTTGAGTTTCCCTTTAATTTGTCACCCTGGTATACATGTTTCCTTAACCGGTCTTAGCACATTGTACTTCAGCATGTTTTATTTAACTGCATGATACCTGTAATTTGAGAGAACAACAGTGATACTAATGGCAAAAGAACAAGGTCTGAGAAAGCCAGCTTGTGTTATTAATGAAATGCTTTCTGCCACAAGAGACAACAGTATCTACGTTTTTTCAACTACGCTTGTGAAATCAAATAAATGGCAAATAGAGCAGGTCTTCAAAGCTCTGTAAAAATACTTCTGAGGTTTTAGATAAAACAGGCACATAAATGCCCATGCAAGCCAAGAACAAAACATGTCAATTATAAATAAGTCTGAGATGCCAGGTGTACCACAGAAGTAGTAAAATTATGTTTCAGCTTGCTTTTCCTGTGAACAGTCATAAGAGGCATCAATGTCTAAAAAAGAAACTTCCGAACCTACTAGCGAGCAGCAGATAGCAGATTTTAAAGGGTTAAATCCAGGGAGAGCGCCCAGCTGGCTTAGAGAGGGCGAGTGGGCTGAGCCTGGCGTGGTGCCCGGCACCGGCACTCACAGCCATTTCTGCCCCACCCCGCCACCAGCAGCTCTGACCATGCCACACAAGAACACCGGACTTCTCTAAAACCTCACCCCTGTAACAAGAGTGCACAGACCCAGGCAGAGAAAAGTGACAGAGACTGCAAGCAGGGACGGACACACGAGCAAGCTGGCTCCATTGATAATTCACTGCAACTAGCGATGTTTGGAGAGCCGGGCTGAGGAACTGAAAGAGGAGGTGAAGGGAAAATGCTGTGCCGGTGTGTGGTACAGCATGAAGTAGACTGTTTAACGGCAGCGTGTGGTAAACTCTGAGTGGAGTATCTCCTCTGTCGGATTCTCTTTTAGCACCTGTCATGACAACAGTGGGTAGTAGTTGGTTGTGGCTGTTTTGATATACAAGGAGACACTGTGCCTGTATGTGTGTGTGTGTGTGTGTGTAAAGATTTGTACATGTGCATCTTTGTTGGTGCTTATACCTTGCGGTGCATGCCTCCATTACTCATGCATGCGTGCTTAGACAGCAAAAAGTTTGCAGGGATTGCTCTAATGCTGCCCCCCCCCCAAAAAAGAAAAACACCACACACACAAAATCAGACAGTGCAAAAGCCTCACCACAGGCGCCTGCAGTGTCCTCCCCAGTTACCACGATGCACCTCCCCAAAAGAGATCCATCTCGCAAACACATGCAGGCATAAACACACACGTGGACACATTACTACTGGATTACTGCCATGTCTGCCCACTTCAATCTATACGCTGGGGCCAACGGGAACCGTGGTAGTACACAGTGCTTATTATAGAGGCTGCATGCAATTCAAACGCTCGACTCTTCGGGTCAAACTTATAAGACGCACGCACACATGCAGACAGACAAGATGATAAAGGCTGATTCATATGCAGAGATGGGTTATGTTTAGATAATGGTTGTGTGGGATGATGGTAACGAGGAAGTAAAGTCACAAAGGGAGACTTGACTCACTGGGAGGTCTGCGTGCGTGCATGTTTGTGTGTGTGTGATGCTAAACAGTCTCATGTGAATTGAACAGTTGGAACCAAATGAAGATGACATGCACAGCAAACAGGGAGGAGAAGAATTCTGTACCTTGTTCCACATTTTCTACAGTACCATACTGAGCTAGAAGGCCATCCAAAACCTGATGGGGAAAAGAGAAAAGATAAAACTCAGACACACAAAATAGCACTGACATACATACACATTAGAGTGAGATCAAAACTTTAAGATCTGATTGATCTTTAGATTAAAGCTTATTACTGGAAGGCCAGACCTTTAACCTTACATTATTTTAATTACGTTACTTCATATCAGCTTATTCCTCTACAATGCATGCATAATAAAAAGCACTGTACGTTGATGTACCTAGCTCCAAACAAAAACTTTTCCTAATGTCAGATGAGTAGCTGCAGCTAGTGCAGACTTGTCTGTAAATAAAGAAAATGAGAGCTGAATGGCATCTGAGATCACAGCTAATACTTGCAGAGAAACCTGGAGAGGTGGCAAAGTGCGTGCATGCGTGTGTCAGAGATATCATTCCCTGCAGTCACGCAATATTGGTAAAAACAGAGATACTTTAATATTCATAAGTGTGATCAATCAAAGTATTATTCCAAGAACTTGTATCTCAGTTGTTATACTTGTGGCTGAAGAGCCTAATCTTGCTGTGCAAACATTATGGTGCAAAGGGGAAATAAGGCAGACATAAAAGACATACTAACACCTAAGATGATATAAGAATGTGTGGCAGCGTTCCATCATAATATGTTAAATAATAAAAGGTCACTGTTCAAACGGAAAGAGGTCAGATTCATGTAGGAAAAAAAAAAAAAAAAAAAAGAATGTAAAAAGAAAACCACCAAAGGATCTTTCCTGGACCGGCAGTGTGCAAAGAGTGACATCAGTAGAGAAGAAGGGCCACCATTTTGAACTTTTCACTGTATTTTGCGGCAAGGAATTGTGTTTCACGCATTAAGAATAAATCACATCATTAGAATGGTTAAGCCAAGGAGCCATTGCAGCACATTCTTTTATTCACTACAGCAGCGCATCTTTGATATTTTATTTTATTTACCACAAAACTCTTGAGATTAAGAATCTCTTGCAAAAATGCCTGGGGCAAGACAGATAGGGTTACCATTACATGTTTTTCAATGGCAGGCAGAACTGGAACTCCTGCAGAAAACCTGTGAAAGCCTCAGGAGGACATGCAAACTTCACACAGAAAGGCCCTTGTGGGTTTGAGCCCAGGACCATGCAGATCTGAGGCAAAAGTGCTGAGGCACCATGCTGCTAAAAGTCGCCGCAGACTGACTGAATGCAGAAAAACATACCTTTGATCTTTTGTTTATTTTTTAAAGACATGCTGTCCACTATCTGCTTTTAAATAGATGGGTTTCTTTTAAGTCTTCAAAAACTGTACTTTTGTTTGTATTTTATTTTTTATTTAGGTTATTATGGAAACTAATTATTTTACTCATCTGGTCCAACAGAAATGAAATAACTCTGAATGAGCCACATACAATAAAATGAGCTGCCTCTGAGCGTCTCTACTAAATTTCAGAAACAAATAGATGACACTTGGATCACGTGTTTTCTATCAGATATTCAATTCTTTATCTATATACTAATACAAAAATACTGTGTTATTAAATGTGAATAAATTCTTTTGTACAATAAAACTGTATGCAGTACTAAAAGATTGGGGGGGGATAAGGCAAATTGTCCTAATCTGTTCAGTAAACACAAAGCGTTTTTATCCGCTAATGTTTATAATATTAAAAACAATAAAACCCATTTGAACCACATGCCCAGAGCTGTGAGCGCAGACAGGCTGCAGATATTAAAATAAGAAAAATGGCCGAGTAAAGGCTTGAAGACAGAGACTCTCACACAGAGAAAACCAACTTGGACCCCAGCAAGGTTACAGATGTCGACACACAGATGCACTGTCATCTGCACACCGACACAGACATAAGCGCGCACACAAGTACAGACATAAACACACAAACACAGGATAAAGGCTGGTGACTCATCGTCAGGAAACTGGTTTATGTGCTACCTGGTGCTGATCAACAGGGCATTACTGTCACACCAACACACACACACACAGACGGAGACACACACACTGACCTCCCACTGTAGATGAGGGGGAATGTTCCGGATCTGGATCTTCCGACTCCTGCAGAGATGAAAGACACAGACGGAGAGAATTTAACAGACCCGAACCACAAACTCACATAAACTTACACTCATCTGTTGTGTTCAGAGCAAAGGCAGCAAACTGTGCTCTATATATATATATATAGTGTATATTTATACACACACACACACCTCTGCTGTATCAGTAGCTCAAAAGCAAAGACATAATGTAGAATCAGACCTGTACTATATTTACTCTATGTAATTTCACAGTTACTGTAAACACCCACGGCTCATTATCACCAATCAAAGGGCTGTCACAGATGTGCTGAAGGTACCATAGGTATGTAAGGTGAGGGTGTTTATTAGACAGCAGCATGTGACTCCTGGTAACACCATCTTACAAGCACTGTGCTTACTACTCTCAACTGGAGAAGTGAAAGTATCACATGACAAGGAAAAAAACAAAAAACAAAAGAGGCGCTCAGACCACAATGATGGGTTTCCTTCGTCCTGAGTGACGTAACTAGAGCAACAGAGGGTGTGTTTTTGGTTTGGAGAACAAAGGAAACAAAAAGCACCCACATTCAGCAATAAACAAGATATTCATGTATTCCCTGAAAATTTATTCATGTGTTCTTTTACAGTTTCTCACTCTGGTTTTCAGTTCATATCCCTTTCATTTGTATCTTCAATTTCTGTAATTTAACACTGAACCCCTGATCTTTTTAGTTTCTTGTCAAACTATATCAGTCAACCAAGCACAGTCCATCACTGGCCGGTCCATTTGGGATCAGAGGTCCTACAAAGCACCTCCTCTGCCTCCTGTGAGCGTTTCAGCTCCAACAGCAAAGCCACACAAACCGCCTGTGACCACAGGCTGTTAACAACTACATTAACGTGAGAGAGCCCAGCTCTGCGATGAAGGCAGCTGATGAGGAGCCGGTGGAGAGAAAGCCATGCTGCTGAGAAGCATTTTGGTGGGAAAACAGGAGACACTACAACGAGTGAGACTGAAGGGCTGAGATGCAGATATGAAGTGGAGGAAGAAATGTAATGAGATGTGATAATGAGCGATAGATTTCAGTTCAGGCGGGATTGCCATGGGACCCACAAACAAACATGCACGTCGTATCAGCTTTTCTGCGCCTCGAATGCCTGTGTTCACGCACTGGCAAACATTTCTATTCTGCATTTTTCTCCTGAACCAGGCTGGGCGTAAAACACTGCAGGTCAGAGTTTCCCGTCAGTGGCTGAGGAGAGGTTGGGAGCACTGCGCGGGCAGCTGGACACGAATGAATGACTCTTTTCTGATTGTCCGGAGAAACACAGTGTCACGTGTCTTCTCCCCTTTTTCTTAAAATACCAAGAAATAAATTAACAAACTGACAATACCAATTTAAGATAAGCAAAGGGGAAACGGCAGTAAAAAAGCAAACTTAATTTAAGAGTAGAACACCTTTTTATATGTATATTTAGCAATAAATCTTCCAACTATAACTTTAAAGTCTCTAAAGCGATAGACACTTCAGATACTGCCTTCATTCCGAAATAAAACAGAATGCACAAGGATAAAAAACAAACGGACAATTCCTGCTGTGTAGTACAGCACAGTGGCCTGCAAGCTTTCTGTCACTGATGGCAGTTTAAAGCAAGTGGCTTGATGAAAGATCTCTTTTGGCAGTCAATATCCAAACAAGGGTAAACCAATTAAAATCTGTCTCTACCGCTAAAACGCATCACTTTTTCTAACGTTGTAAACAAACCCGTGACATCCAAAAAGCAGCCAGTAACTGAAAAGGATTTAAGACCAAGTCAAAACCTCAAAACAGCTCCGAATGCTGGCATCCCCAACCTGCAGAATATGGAAACTGAAAGGTTCTTTCATTCGGCGTAGTCTGCCTAAATAGTCCGTGAATTCAGAAGTACCACTTCTCTATAGCGTCTGTGCTAATTAATTATTCCAACTAATCTTGATGCCCGATGCTGAACACTTACTTTATATTAGAATGGATACTTTAGTGAATCTGATGATGGGAGAGGCTAACCCGAGCAGGACACTGGGGTAAACTTTGCAAACTCATTCTTCAACAGGAAAACGTCGCTGTAAGAAATGCACCATTTCTTTCAGCATCTGTGTCATAAGTCATTATTTAGAGCCACCTGTTTTCCTGTCAGACTGAAAGCATCCAAAGGGACATCTTGAATAAGCAGTGACACATTTGAGGTCTCACTCAGCATACACTGGATAAGCACAAGATGACTGCTTTCTGTAAAATAAAATGCTGCCTGTCTACAGTCTTCAGGTATCCTCAACTTATTTGTGTTCCCTTATTATCCGTGGATAAACCAGAGGCAGTCATCTGCTAATATCTCCCGTTTTCTTGCATTCAAGCTTGAACCCAGTGCCCTTTCTCAGCTCATCCTTTTCCAAGTCCAAAATGAACTGCAGTAGAAGATGCAGACTGAAGTCAATGGTTACTTAATGTTTGTTGAATGTAACCAAGCTGTCTGCTGCTGGTTTGGAGCTGCCTGCCACGAGAAAAAAGAAAGCCTCTCAATTTCAGCCTTTAAATATCCGAGGGTGGCCATGTTCATTTGAAAAGCTAATATTTACTGCACCCACCTGTACGAGCTAAGGAACCGTGTCTGCACACAGGCGTGCATACTAATACGCACACGCAAGCGGTGCAGTCGAAGGAATTTTAACCTCTGAGAGAGCAGGCAGACAGAGGGGTGAGAAAGAGGGTATTCAACCCGTGCCAAAAGTTTGCATTGCTCCTAAAGATGACCCTATGATCATCAACCATTCTAGAGGAATCCTTTCACAGGTTCTCTGTTCTCCTCTGTTCTGATCTGTGCTTTCAGTTCTACCTTCAGATTTTAAAACCTTCGTGTGTCTGGAGCAGAGACTCAGCTTGCTATCGGCACATATCACTTGGGTGCAAGTAAGATTAAAATAGAAGCAGCAGAGCTGTACCAATTGACTGTTTAATCTATTTGTCAACAAATATAAAATTAATCATCCATTCAAATTAATCTATCGCTAACATTGCACTAACTGATTAATTTGTACCCAAAAATGTCAAAAGTGAGACATTGATGGTTTTTTCCCCCCATCAAGTTATGAAAGATTAACTCCACCTTACATTAGAAACATGGCTACATGAGACTACAGCTTATGTCAATGCAAATGGGCAAAGACTGAAATTGAACTCATTTTATGGAGGCAAAAAAGAGAAGTTGGACAAGGTGTCAACATCAGTCTGGGAAAAGTTTATCTATGCAGCGTTTTTACTTTGATAAAAGTAGATTCTATAAGAGCTTATAAATTCACATGTGCAAGTATTAAAAATCAGTTACCATGCAAAACAGCCCCATGCTGTTAAAAAAAAAAAAAAAAAGGCAGTTTAATGCAACATATTCTAGAAGTAACCATATTTGATACCATGGGTGACTTGATAAATATAAACTGCAAGTGAGGTGGATGACAAAGATTCTAAATTATATCATGATAGTTCAAGAAAACTTGCCATGATATTTCTGACAATATATGAAAAAATAAATGAATACCAAATTTTGTGTTTGGTATTTGCTTGCAGGCAGCAGCATTTTTAAATGTAAGTAAATGAAGGGCATTTTCAGTCCTTCTTTTCCAGTAAGTTTCTGTCACTGATGACACACTCGTTAATCTGAAGTGTGAATTTACTGCAAAAGTCAGCATTATATATCCTTTTTTCCATTAGTAGCTACTCAGGTCAACTCTACTGGGTTTTGGTTGGTGGTATACCTGCTGCTGTGTGTGTGTGTGTGTGTGTGTGTGTGTGTGTGTGTGTGTGTGTGTGTGTGTGTGTGTGTTTTTTTTCCAGAATCTGGGACCACAGTGTTGTTTTTGTGTAGAAATCTCCCTCTTTGCTGGATTTCAAAAATGGGGTTTTTGATTTTTATGAAGGAGATACTGTCATGAGTCATCAAGTGACGCTACTGACTAGCTAATCAGTGGCATGCAATCAGCTGACGTCAAATTTTTGGACAGCTTCACATCACTTGGAGCGTTAACGGATTAAAAGTAGCTCCCTGCAATAGCAGTGAGAAAGCATTACATCCAGTGACACAGACTAAGTGAAATATAAGCACAAAAGTAGCCCAGATACCATTTTCCCTGGAAATTTTATTTAGTAAACGTATAAAATAACCGTTTAACATTTTCAATTTAACAGTAGCTAAAGTGACCTAACCTTGTAACTCTTCAGAAGCTGCACAATGTTTTCTAAATAGGATGTTGTATCTTTTGGTTGAGCGTTTAAACCATCCAGAGCCATGGGAGTGGCCACGATGTTGGTGTGTGTGTGTGTGTGTGTGTGTGTGTGTGTGAGTGGACTGTAAAGCGTGTGAGAGAGAGGACTGTAAAGCTGTAAGGTACAGAGGCTTTAATATTCCATTCGTCTTGTCACATTTTAACATAGGGCTGTTCGATATAACGATATACATTGGA